CTATTTTTGAGTTAAGTCGAGTTATAAAGTCCGAATTAGGAGATATAAACTTGCAGTTGCGAGAAAAAAAAGTCAGAATTGTGAGAAAATAAATAAATGTTATGTAAAAATGTTAATAGTAAGTTTTAAATCATATTTCATGCTGTAACTGTAGGGCTAATACAATACATCCCCTATGAACAGCATATGTGAATATTATGTAGACCTATTGTTTAAATCGAATTTATACTTTAAAAGTAATCATAGCAGTTTTCATCCATAGTATGTCCATTTAAAAGTCTGCGTTTAGCTTCAAATGTCGTCTTTGACGACCGTATTCTATAAAAATTATTTGCATTCCGATCTTGACATCAAAAGGCACAATTTTTTTTTCCTTTTATTCCATGGATTTTACCCATTTACCTCCACTTGTTCCCAGTGTTTTTCTGCAACCACTATGCGTGCGCAGCTACAAGTGATGTAACCGGGACGTCTACTCTGAATTGGTCTATACATGTATACATTTCTGTGAGTTACTTGTGCTGTTGTGCTCATTTGTTTTGATTTCTGCACGAGTCTCTCTCTCACACACACACACACACACACACACACACACACACACATCAGACAGGTTGCGCGAGTCTCATCTGGCATGACATAAATACATCAGTCTTCGTTAACACTGAATGCAGTAAAACCATTCTCGTGCTAAATTTTTTGGTGGCCAAGTTTCAATGCTTCCCTAGTTATTTTTGCCAATTGACGTTTTATTCAGGCTTTTTTTCCGGTCAGGCAAGTAAAATTCTCTCTCTTCCTCCTCAAAAAAAAAATCTACTTGGCCCAGAGAAGCATTAATCGAGCCCTGTGGTTCCCCCACGGTTTACTTTGGTCCTACACATATTACAAATTGCGAACTTTGTATCGTCTTCACTCACAGTGAAGAACTTCCATGCAGACGACATATTTATATGCAGATGTGAGCGTAGCTGTGACGGCACAACAGTCACCGGTCCAGGCCGATCATGCGGAAAATCAGCTGGTTCCGGTCTCTGGCCAGTCAATCGGTGCATCTCTAGTGGATTTTATTTGATGACCGTTCTGTAAAAACAATAATAAATAAGAGCTAGGTATATATATATATATATATATATATATATATATATATATATATATATATAATCAAAAGATTTTTACATTTGCATGTTTGTTCATTTGACAGATACTTTTATCTAAAGCAACTTGCATTGCATTGAAGGTATACGTTTTATCAGTCTATGCATTCCCTTGGAATTGAACCCATGACCTTGGCTTTGCTAGTGCTATGCTTTGAAGTTTAGACTACATGACTGCTCTGAATTGATAACATTCGCAGATAAGGGTGTAGCAGTAACACGTTTTGCTTGCTGGGGGGAAATCGTGCTTTTTTTTTTTTGGTGCTAACTAGGCATATTAAATCAACATATTTAAATGAATGAAGAGTTTCCTAGCCTGCGCTAGTGTGATTCTGTAAAGGCATGCTTGTTCTGCAGCTGTTTTATGGGTAAATTTGTAGGTCATGTAGCGCTAATGATTATTCATAGACTGATGTATGGGCCAGGCCAGCTGATCAGCGGTTATTGGTCCGTTCTGATCTGTTGTCAGCCTCATGTATGTGTAACACACCATCTATTCAAATGGTACTAGAGGGGGTGACTTGTGACTCTTGTTGTTTGAACTGAGTCATGGTTCAACAATAAGGACAGAAGTTGCCCTATCCGACCATTGCTGTCACCACCACATTTTGCCATGAACTGCCATTCAAAAGGTTGGGTTCAATAATATTTTTAGATGTCTTCTATGGTTTTTAAAGTCCTTTGTTCACAAAGGCTGCATTTATTTGATCAAAAATACAGTAATATTATAAAATTATTACTATTTAAAATATTTGTTCTATTTTAATGCATTTTAATGACATTTTAATGTAATTTGTTAATGTGTTGGCAAAGCTTAATTTTCAGCAAAATTATACCACTCTTCAGTTTCACATGATCCTTCAGAAATCAGTGTTTCTATTATTTTATCAATGTTGAAACCAGTGCAGCTTAATATTTTTTTATGGATGCATGTTTGTTTTTTCCCCAGATTTTTTTAAAGAATGCTAAATTAAAAATAACACCATTATGCAAGTCTTTACTGTCATATTTGATCAATTTAATGTGTCCTTGCTGAATAAAAGTAATAATTTCTTTCCCCAAAAAATCTTACTGACTTGAATGGTAGTGTATTTAATGAATATTGCTTTTGAATTCTGCTTATTTGTCACCAGTAACATTGTCAAGCTGACTAACATGGTTGATTTGACATGACTTGAATGATAATTATATTAGCATCCACACCAACGACCGACTACATTTTTATTGTATGTAGTGCACACTTTTAATATTAAATGGCTGTCAGTGGGTTTTGTCATTATAGTTGTGGTGTGAACTTCACTATTATAACAATTTTTAAAACTAGGATAAAACATAGTTATTGCCATAATAATATAGTCAAATGCCATTGTTTTCCGGTGAAAAATATTATCGTCTTTTTTTCCCCCCTTTTATTATTTATTTTGGATAATCACAGAAAATGTTAAAAATGGCTGTTTATCATAGTTATGAGAGGCTAGTAAAATTGTCAGCAGGACTAGCAATAACCAGGCCTGCAAAAAAATTCTTATTGTTGAGCCTTGTTAGTGTTTTGACCACCACTAATGATGTTAATGTTCGTTAGCCTGTTGATAAAAAAAGCTTAATGTGAAAGATTCTTTCTCTCTCCTTCTCGTAGCCGGTGTCTCTGCAGGAGGCCAAACTCTTGTTGAAGGAGGATGATGAGCTGATAAAGGAGGTGTTTGAGTACTGGAGCAGGAAGAGGAAAGCATGTCAGAGCAGCTCTCTCATTCCTGTCGTCAAACAGGAGAAGCGTGACGGCTCCAGCACCAGTGACCCCTATGTGGCCTTCAGGCGCAGGACGGAGAAGATGCAGACACGAAAGGTAAGAGGGCACCGCTCAACAACGAATTGGCTCTGCTTATGGAATAACAAGAGAAACAATTTGCACGTTATCTTTATGCACAGAATCGTAAGAACGATGAAGCTTCTTATGAGAAGATGCTGAAGCTGCGTAGAGACCTGAGCCGAGCCGTCACCATCCTAGAGATGATCAAGAGACGGGAGAAGAGCAAACGAGAGCTGCTGCACCTCACACTGGAGATCGTAGAGAAGAGGTACATGTGAACATCATATATTTTGTCGTCATGTGTTCACGTGATTATATACAACCTGGGAGAGAGAGATAGATATAGATATAGATATATATGTATGTGTGTGTGTGTGTGTGTGTGTGTGTGTGTGTGTATATATATATATAAATAAATACGTGTCTTTATTTCTCTATATTTGTGTGTGATTGATTTTGGAAAAAAAAGAAAGATGTACAGACCTGGAAAAGTCATGGATATTTTATTATTTTTTGCATTTTTAAGCTATTTTCAGTAATTAAATGTTTTTATCAGTGCCTAAAATTGCTTTAGTGCAATGGGGGAAAAAATTATGTATAAATAAATGTAAACTTTTTTTTATTTTTTTTATTTTAGTAGTTACAGAAACCTGAGAAAATTCATGGAAATTCATTGTTGTGGGAACCCTGCTATTGTAGGTTGTTTGGCACAGGAGTGTGTATTGTTTAAGCTCATTGATGTGTGTGTGTGTGTGTGTAGGAACAGCATGGCTGATTTCGGAGGAGAGGTGATGGCTGAGGTTCTGGCTCAGAGAGCTCTGGAGAAACCAGTCATCCCTCTGATCCCAATCACCAACAGCAACCAGTACAGACACACAGAGCATGACCGGGACTACAAGATCAAGGTACAAGCACTCATATCTCTGTTTGTCTGGGCCAGTGGGCTCCCCCTTATGCCCAAAACATACTTTGCACAAGTATACAGGTGCTGTTTTATATATTAGAATATTCTTATTTGTGTTTAATTACCTTAATGTTTCTGTGCGTTCCTGTTTTTCAGTCAGCTTGTTGCACAAGTGCAACAATTTTTTTAAATAAATCTCATTTGGGTTTGTTTCTTATGTTCGGCTGTAGATGGATAAACCAGATGTTGTGAGGCAGAAACGGAAGTATGAGAAGAAGGCCAAGCCATTGCCGTTGGCAGGCTCTGCCCATTCAGGCCCGGCAGTCTTTAACACTAAAGACCTCAATCAGTATGACTTTCCCAGCTCAGACGATGAGCCCTACTCACAGGTTCACACACGTTCAGTGTCATAGACATTCATGAGAATCATTTTCTGCTTTCTCTTGGCTTGACACTTTCTTTTGTTTCCTCAGATGTTCTCTGGTTCTTCAGAGGTCGAGGAGGAGAATGATCCAGATGGTGTGTTTGGGTTCAGGAGGAGAACAGGCTGTCAATATCATGCTGTACGTTGTGAAGCATCCTGATATGCATGAATTGGCATGAGTGAGTTGTAAGGCTGTAGTCAAGGCTGGATGTTATTAATAAATTATTCTGTATGTTTTTCTCAAAGGCGCATTCGGGACCCGTGGGCGGCTGGCCCTGGTCAGACCCTGCCGAGGGTGGGGTAGCAGATGTGCGATATCGCTATTCTCTCACCACGCTCACGGTGCCACGGCGATGCCTGGGATTGGCACGGCGACGAGTGGGCAGAGGGGGCAGGTGAGTTAAGCCACTTAAATTACAGAACTGCAGGTAATTTTGTATTTTTCAGCAAATATATTCATACATGATTAATTGCAGTTTGATTCAGTTTTTCAATTAGTTTAATTTGTGGACTTTGCACAGCAAATAATAATTGTGATTTCAGTTTATTTGCAATTAACCGCATCTATTGAAATTTATTATTTAATCACAAATTTCGTTATTTGCTGCGAAAAAAAGTCCTCAAATTAAGATAATAAAAAAATTAATTAAATTGCTTTCGACCATATTTGAATATTTTCATATAATTTGTTAATCCTAATGAGACTGTTAATTATTTTAAAATTTGTTGAAAAGTAAAAGCCAATTCAGTTTGTATTTGCATTTATTATGCTATTTGATTTTTTTTCAGCAAATGTATTTATATAATTATTAGCAATGAAATTAGTATATGATTCAATTAATTTGTATTCATTTGATCTCAGCAAATAAAATTTCTGTTTTTAAATTCAGACAATTTGCTGTGCAAATACAAATTGATATCAGTTAATTTTGTAAATAATTTTATGTAATTGCAGTTATCAATTTGTATTACTCTTATTTATAATGTGATTTAATTGCAGTTAAAAACAATTTCTAATATGCAGTTATTTGTGATTAAAAATGTTTTAATTGGCATAGCACATGTGTCATTCAGTTCATGTACGTGTGTGAAATATTTAACCCACGTTAATTCACTTTGCAACATTTGATGAATTCTCTCACATTTGTTTGTAGGGTTTTATTGGACCGAGCCGACTCTGAATGCGATACTGTGTATCATGGGCTGGACCCGGATTCCCCCACATTCCCATCTTTGTCTCCCGCCCAGCAGCCCAGCACGGATACCTCACATACCAGCACAGATACCTCTGCCACCTCCTCCACTTCACCGGACCTCACGAAAATCCTGGTCAATATCAAAGCCTGTCGCTGGAGGCATTTCAAGCCTCGGACGGCACCACCAGACGACCCCGACAATCCTGAGCACTGGTCTGCACAGAGACCCCGCCGCGGCTTCCTCATCCGCCCTATTAGCACGCTTCAGACACGGAGAGGCCCTGGCTCCTGCACCAAACCACGTGTCCCTCCACCCACACCGGGTGAGTCCACTGATGCCGAATAGTTACTGAGTCTAGCTGCTTTTTTCAGTTTTATTGTTTAGACCGCTTTTTATATTTTGTCTAGTTTTTAATGAGTTGCCATAAAGTTGCTTTTAAAAGGTGGTTGTAAACCACCTCTGACTCAGAAACCCTTTACAAGACTTTACTATTCCAGAGTACCCCTATGAAAATGTTAGCATTTTCAGAGCACAACTCTTTCCGTGTCGTTTGTCTGTGATGTGTGGAGGGAGAATGCATTCTAGTCTGCTTAAAGTAATTTGCATGTTAGAACCATAGACTAGAACAAGCATTTGTAGTGATGAGATGTTTGTCATATCAGTAATTTAGGAAAAGCGGTTTTATTGTTTTCCAGGCAGGCTTTCTTATCATGGGAAATGCGGTTATACAGCATGAAAGTTATAAAAAAAAAATGATTTCAATATTTCCAAGTTAAAAAAAAAGGAGCTTGATGTTTAACTGCAGGATTGTTGAGGGTTTTTTTGTACCACAATCTGAATGCCCGTTCCAATGGCATCATCTATCTTTGAGGTGTTTTTTTTTAGTCCCACCTGGAAGAATGAATAAAAAAACTTATGACAAAAAATGTTTAATAAACCCAGGGCATTAAGTGTTTGACCAGCACAACTCTTTCCGTGTCGTTTGTCTGTGATGTGTGGAGGGAGAATGCATTCTAGTCTGCTTAAAGGAATTTGCATGTTAGAACCATAGACTAGAACAAGCATTTGTAGTGATGAGATGTTTGTCATATCAGTAATTTAGGAAAAGCGGTTTTTTTGTTTTCCAGGCAGGCTTTCTTATCATGGGAAATGCGGTTATACAGCATGAAAGTTATTAAAAAAAAATGATTTCAATATTTCCAAGTTATAAAAAAAAGGAGCTTGATGTTTAACTGCAGGATTGTTGAGGGTTTTTTCCCCCACATGTTTGCATTATTTGTCTGCTGAAATTCTGCAGGTATTTGAAAATCTTAGCGATTGTTGCCACTTGCCATTCTCAAGTAAAGGATTTGGAAGTTGACTGGTGCCCTTTTATGTTAATGGCATTAAAGGGATAGTTCACCCAAAAATGAAAATTGAACAGAAAACAAGACATTTTGAAGAATGCTGGTAATCAAACAGTTGATGGTCCCCATTGACTTCCATAGTATTTATTTCCCTACTATGGAAGTCAATGGGGACCAACAACTGTTCGGTTCTTCAAAATATATTTTGTGTTCAACTAGAAAGAAACTCGTACAGGTTTGGAACGACATGAGGGTGAGTAAATGACAACATTTTCATTTTTGGGTGAACTATTCCTTTAATTAGGGGGCTTTTACAAGGCGGAGATCTGCAACGTCACTTACATCTGATGAATAGGCCCTAAACCATGTCAGCACAATTAAGCAAGAGGATAAAGTTATTATTAAATAACATTGAACAACAAAATCCCACAAATCATAAAGCTCCAAAGGAAAGGCAAGGCTAGTAAAACTTGCAACAGTTATGCATAAATGTAATACTTCAACAGATTTTTACAAGAACAACTATTTAACCCAGAGAGCTCATGTTGTTACATCTCAACAATACATAAGTGTCAACAACAGTAGCAGAAAATATTGATACTTATAAAAACCAGCATTTAAGTAGGAATGAAAAACAATTACATAATATATTTGACAACTTGCATTTAGCAACTTTTGTTAACACGCTGACATGAATATTACATTGTATTAATGAAGAGACATCGATCCAAACGACGCTCTGAATTGTCATCCACAGGACTGTACAGTACAACTCCCACCGTTACATTTAGTCCAAGTTCTTGATCTGTAGCTTAGTATCAAAACAATGCCCTTAAAAATGGAGAAAGGGGACATCAAACCAATGTTACAATTTGCCTAGTAATTTATATAGTAGATTATTTTTATGTTTCTTGTAAGGAAAGTAAATGTATTACTGACACCAACTCTAGCTGTAACTAAGCAGATGCCTTAGATAAACTAAGGGCATATGAATTGAATGAACTATCCTGAATTGAGCAAGAGTGTAAGATCAAGATACACATTAGCATGCTAAATACATGCTATTGAAAGACTGGCATGCATACACAAAAACCTGTACATTCAAATATATAAAAATGTTAAAATGAAAATATGAGTCTATTAAGTAGGCTCAGGCTGGCTCTAATCATATGAAAAGCCCATATAAATATATGCACAAGAGTATAACTCTTGTTAACATTAACACAGATCATCCGCTTGAAAAAAAACATCACAAGTGTATTGTTAAATTAATTTCAAGATGGAGCTTAATATCAGGTGTTTAAAGAGTTCACTTACGGTCTTAAAATCTCCACAGAAAATCCCAGAGCATTCAGATGAATCTCCACCCACTCATTGCAGTCATTCCCATGTGAACACTGCTCTCCTGTTTTGCATCTGTAGCTTTATAACAAAACAAACACGCAGAGATATCCTGATATCGGTTTTATTGGAGCATCTTAAAGGGTTAGTTCACCCAAAAATGAAAATTAGCCCATAATTTACTCACCCTCAAGGCATCCTAGGTGTATATGACTTTCTTCTTTCAGATGAATCCAGTCGGGAGTTATATAAAAAAAATGTATTTGATCTTTCAAGCTGTTTAATGCCAGTCAGCGGGTGTTGCAGTGCTTCAGTCCAAAAGAAGTGAAATAAAGCGCATCCATTCAAAATAAAAAAGTGCCTCACACGGCTCCGGGGGGTGAACAAAGGCCTCCTGTAGCGAATCGATGCGTTTTTGTAAGAAAAATAACCATATTTAAGATGTAATAATCAATTTAATCTAGCTTGTGCTCACTGTTGTACATGGAAGCAGGGGCTGGTTGCACCAGCTGTACGTAATTTACAACTTAGTGCCCATTTACGTCAAAAATAGGCTAAGTTACAACTTACACACTACTAAATATTTTTCCGTTGCACCATTACATGTAGTTGAAGTGTAACACTACATATAAACTAAATATTTATGGAAGCGTCTGGTCAGGAGTAACAGTTGGAATAAAATAGCAGACTGAGTGAACTGCATCAATATGCTCTTCTTTTACCAACCTTCAATCCTTTAGACATACATGATGCTGACATTTCCACTCACGTACATATTAAGAGAGAGAACAATGTGAATAAATATACTTTGTTTCTTTTTTAGCGTGTCTTCCACACCCCATCTACAGCGCGCCTCTGTGCGCTTCGTTCTGTGTTGTGCATGTCAGATTAAATAAATAAATGGCATTTCTTATGTTTTTTTTCTTTCAGTACTTATTGATCCTTATTTATCCTTATTATTTATTATTATTACAGTTTCAGAATGATATTTACATATATAAATAGCTTACATAGAGACTAATGTTATTAATGTATAGTTTTTAATGGAAACTTGTTTATATTTTTACCGTTAGTATATGTGAGGCAAAAGAAGTTAGAATGAAGGATAAATTAAAATTCATAGCATTTAAACAAGTTCTGCTCTCGTATTTGAAGGTTTCTATTGGATGATTTAGGGTAAACGTCATATTATGCGACTACGCATTACTTTACGGAGAGTTTACGAACCACTTGCTACATCCTGCCTTACGAACAACTGGTGCAACCAAATATATTTAGTTACAAACTAGCTAGTAGTAACTAAGCCTCTAGTGTGGACTTAACGTTCTAATTTAAGTAAGAACTTACGAATGGCTGGTGCAACCCTACCCAGCTCCGGGCACATGACGTAAGACGTTGGCGTTGCGCATATGCTGCTCAGAAGTGACGAACGCGGAAGCGCAGGGGAGAGGTCAAAACAAAACAACGGTCTTTGTTAGAATTAGAAGTACAAAACGAGGATTTGTAAAGAAGAATGTCGGAGGCTTTCAATATAAGCCAAGAGGAGACTGGTTTTACTTTGCTCCTGTTAACAAACGTTGGTTTTCACGAGACTTACTGGCGCATGCACAACCTCATACGTCATCCACCCAGAGCTGCTTCCGTGTACAACTGTTGGCACAAGCTAGATTAAAGTGATTATTACATTCTGAATATGGATATTTTTCATACAAAAACGCATCGATTCGCTACAGGAGGCATTTATTCACCCCCCAAAGCTGTGTGAGGCACTTTTTTATTATGGATGGATGCTCTTTATTTCACTTCTTTTGGACTGATGAACTGCAACACCTGCTGACTTCCATTAAACAGCTTGAAAGATCAAAGACAATTTTTAATATAACTCCGACTGGATTCGTCTGAAAGGAAGAAAGACATATATGCCTAGGATGGCTTGAGGGTGAGTAAATAATGGGCTAATTTTCATTTTTGGGTGAACTATCCCTTTAAAGAACACAATAAGGTGCTGAAGACCTACAGTCTATATGAACTTAAAACATGTGTCTTATGACAGTTATTTAATATCTTCTGCTTTAGTACGTCATTAAGAAATATAAGTAAATGTATAAACAATTATTAAGTAATATTATATCATGAGTTTCTAAATTAGAAACGAACCAATTCTTCCAAACTAGAAACAAAGATGTAAAATCCAAAACTATGAGCTATTTATAAAGCAGTACAAACCCGTGAAATGTCAGTGCGCAGTCTGGCCTTATGTGTGACTTCTGCAAAACCCTGATTCCCTCCTCCAGTATCCAGCCACAGTTTATCCTACAGTATGCAAAATATGCACACAACCACACAGTCAACGTATGTATGTATTTATTGTTTACACAGTATTATCATTTACAGTGTATTCTTTGTCATGTCTTGTGCTACAGGCCTGGTGAAATGTCATTTTGTTGTACAAAAAAAAACTAACTATACTAAAACTGCTAACACATGTTCTGGATGAGGACCCATATGCTTCTTTCCAATTTGTTTAGGAAAGGTTATTTTTCCCTCTTTGTTACCTTAGATAATTTGTCTAAGATACTTTAAGTTATCGCAGGCTATCTTCTTATAGCTAAAGCACATAAAAATGTACAAATCTCCATTTTAATCTTTTATATACTTATTTTACATATTGTGGTGCACAACCTTGTAGGTGAGTGACTGGGGTGTATAAACTCATTGTCAAAAGACAAAGTATAAATTTAGGCAAAAACAGTTCATTAAGGGCAAAAGGCACGGTTGATTTCATGATGAGATCCTCTCTTACCTGAGCTCAGTTAGGCTGGGGCAGTTCTTGATGAAGGAGATGATCTGAATAGCCCAACTCTCAGTCACACTGTTCACTGACACACACAGTTCCATCTTCTTCAATCCAGACAAACAAGAGATGTAAAACATGAGCACATCTTTGTTCTCAGTTTGAAGTGCTCGGAAGAGGTTTGGCCAGTCAATGTTAATTAGATTAGATTGTAGAAAAGTAAGACTGAATGATGGCAAACAATTATTTGGTCCTATATAGATCCTAAAAACAAATGAAGGACAGAGTTAGTACCAAATTAGTGAATGCTTAAATTTTTGTTATTATTATTATTTACTTTATAATGTAATCGTTTGGAGGTCTATTTTGTATTATCTGTTATTTGCATCATTAAAAGTGTTTAATAAAATCCAAGGTACAGCAAAAAGTAAAATGCGGTGCTGTCAAGTATGTTAACCACAGTGCAATTATATATATTTTATATAACATAAAAGAGGTTCATATTTACAGTCCATATATTTATTTAGGATAAATCATCTGTAAGTTACAAATCTATATCTAATATAGCTGAAGGTTTATTCCCTATAAGACAATTTTAGATGGGCCAGTATATCAGTGAAAAAAATCATAATTAACCAAGCAGTTTGATGGGTGGTTAATAAAAAATGTTAAGCATGGGCACAAGAAATGTTTTGTTTAGTTTTTTTACCTGGACAGTTCTTCACAGATTGTCATATCAAGTTTATTGATAGAACAAGTGTTGCTATCTGCATGAACTGAATCAATCTGAACCCTGCAAATCAAGGAATAGACAGAAAAGGTATAAAACTAAAAAAATTAAAGGGCATTTTGCATTTGAACCTTTTGCTTTGAGTCTGGTATTATTAAAGACTTTACCTACGTGTCTGTCCTCTCATGACAGCATGAATCAGATCCACAAGCTCAGAGTCTTCTGGAGATTCTGGTGTCAACCTTCAAAATCAAAACAAAGATAACAAATTTAGGAAGATAATACTAATGGCATAATTATAAACAGTAAATATTATGGATAGCTTTAAAATAAGACAATACTTTAAATAAGAAAACATCTTACATTCTGGTCCTTTTCTACAGTGAAGACAGATATATATATATATATATATATACACACACACACACAATGCATTTTTTTGGGTGTTTCTTGTCACTCTAAATTTTTGTTGTACCTTGTGCAATTACAATAAATAAAGTATCTCACTCTTACTAAATGTGTGTGAACTCCTTTGACAAACCCAAAATATCTGAATAACTGATTAAGCCCCACAATAAAATTACAAATTTTTCTAGTAAAGCTATGAACATATTACATCCCAAAAGAAATGTAAAAGTCTGTAGAGATGTTTGAGTAGTATGTTACAAATGCTGTTTCATGGTGACTTTATTTATTTATTGATGTTTTAATGCATATATCAGCAACAATGGCTATATTCATGGCAACATTAACATTATCTATTCAATACATCATTTACAATAATATAACATTTTCTTAAGAAGCAATCACTATACAAAAACACACTAGTAACAACGATAGTAATGATAAAAATCATATAAATCTTTCAATTTAATCAATGATAAAAAAAGTCTAAAATTCTTCCAGGAGAGAGAGAGAGACACTTTATAAATGTCTTTCAGTATATTTTCTGAGTTGTCTAATACCATTTAAAATTGGACATTCTATTAAATTGTGTTTTACACTCAAATAATTCTTACACAAATCGGTTTTTCATGGTGACTTTACACAAATGTATGTTATATAATACGTCAACTAAATGGAGTCAGCTAAACAGAGTCAAATAAAAATTAAATAAAACATGTCCTTGCAGTGTTTTGTTCTGATACAAGGTAAACATAGCAAAAGTTGTCATCCAACTGCTTACTGTATATGTTCACTGAGGGTTTGTTTTGGAGTACTCACCTTAAACTCTCAAACTTGTGGAGTACAGGAAGAATCATAGAGAGTTTTTCAGATGTTAATTGGCAGCAATGGAGAGTCAGTTCTTTCATGCACTGACAGCACTGACAACAGTACAGCAGGGCCCAGCAGTCTGTTCTTCTTAGAGGATCATACATGACATAAATGTCTGCTTTTCCATTTAAAACTTCTTTTACAAAGCTTTCTTCATGGAGCTCATAGAGACAGTGAAGAGTGAGGAGAGAATCATACGGTTTAAAAAGCGATTCTTTCAAATGGTTCTGTGTGTTTGGATGAACAAGCACACCATGCTTTCTCTTAAGTGTGCCTGTAACATCCTCATTCAAAAGGCCAAAAAGAAACGGCATTACAGCTGCAAAACGTGATTTATGATAATAAGAACGTAGTTTTGTGAGTTTCCCCTTGAACGTCTTGCTGTCGAGTGAGATGTAATACAGAGCAGTGAAGAACTCTTGAAAACTGAGATGCATGAAACTGAACATCGTCTCCTGGCTGATTCTTCTCTTAAAAAGGAACTTGCACAGGAATGGATTGCCAGCAGGGTCTGAAATTGTTTCATAAACAGTTTTCTCATCAAACAAGACTTGTTGTTCCAGCATCCCTCTCTCTGCCAGCTGACCCAGACTCCTCAGCAGGCTCGGGACAGACTGACTCAAACCCTGGCAGTGATAATCCAGTAGAGTGGACACAAAGTCAACGTAGATAGAGGTGGTGGTTTCCAGTCCACTCATCATATCTGCACCATCACTGAACCTCTCTCGCATAACCGTGCAGATGATCCAGCAGATGACAGGGATGGAGCAAGCAGTGATGAGAGTTTCATTTGCTTTAACACATTCATAGGCTTTCTTGAAGAGCTCCTCATTCTGGAAGAACTTCTGAAAGTACTCCTCCACCCCCATCTCAGAGAATCCCATAATCTCTGTGAAACGCTGAGGTCCCTTGAGCAGTTTACCCAATGTGTCTGTAGCTGTAGATCTGGTGGTGACCAGCAGGAAGGACTCTGGCAGGATTCGACCCCTCAGCAGGGCACAAAGAGTGACTTCAGGTGGAGCTTTTTGAAGCACATCAGTGTTTGGTGACATGTGATAAATGTCCTGTGTGAGTCTCAGCTCATCAAATCCATCAATGATGAACAGCACCTTCTCTGTTGAATGCTGTATTGTCTGTGAGATCTGATCTGATGTTAAACTGCAGCTGTTGCTTAAGACCTCTACCAAACTCTTTTTGCCAGAAATGCAGTTTATTTCTTTACACTTTAAGTGGAACACAATACCAAACTGTTCTTTGTAGAGGTCACCAGATGCCCAGTCCAGCATGATCTTCTGCACAGTGAAAGATTTCCCATTCCCTGAATTTCCTTGCAATATAACGGCATTAGAACTGATCTCATGGCCATCTGGGTTGAACAGAGAGTTCAGATGGACAGATTCATGACTGTTCCTGGAGTTGAGGACCTGCTGGAAGCTCTCTCCACTGGAGCAGAGCTCTTCTTCTCTCTCTTTTTGATCTCGATGTTTCTGAAGGATCAGAGGTTGTGTGTAGCGCTCAGACAGCAGCACTTGTTCACCAGGCAGTGAGTTATACTCTGTCACATACTGATACTCACTGCAGATCTGCTTTTTATATTTGAGTATCACTGATCTCATTGCTGCAGAAATAAAATTGTCAATATTAAAATTGAGAACAACTTCTGACTTTTAATACAATAAAAAAAATTCAGAGCAGACTATATAAATAGCTGCTAAATTAAAAGGTGGAATGTACAACATTTCAAAAATTACTATTAAATTCATCAGTCACCTGATGTAGGTGTTTTTTCAGAGTATGTGCGATCGCCAGTGAAACCTGCAGAACATTTGACACGTTTACCGTACAGATTTTCAGTAGCTAAATCAATTACAAATATGAAACTATACAACATTAGTACAACTGTATTAGCAGACATCTGATATACTTTAAAACAGTTTACATATTTCAGCACTTGTGTTTAGCACATGAAAATAGTGAATACATATTATCAGAAAACGTATAGTGAATATTGTCAGCTTCTGTCTACATTAAAAAATTTAAAAATAAACTTACCAGGTGCATTATGTATGATGTGGACATTGCCTGCTATTGTGTTATTAGTGAATATCGGTTCTGTAACATTGCTTCCACTCCGAGCTGCAGTGTTGACATTTAGCCCAGCATGAGCTCTGGAAATGTTCTGGTTAGTGCGAAACTCTAGGTGACAAAGGAAAAAAGTAGATACTATAATGTGATCTAAAATGTAACATTACCGTTACAGTAATTAATAAATAATTTTATAATTAATGCACAGCTGAAGAGCAGATTTGGCTTAACTTTTTGCTTAAATGTAAGTTATGCCAAATCTTTCTGTAGACAAAGGTTGTTTTTCTTGTACTTTTAATCCACAGAATAAAAATAAACTTGAAAGATTAAAATAAATTCTCTAGTCTTGACTAAAATCATGTTACCCAAAACCATGAGAGAAAATGTTTAGAAAAAGTTACACGTACTGCCAAAGAAGTCCATTTCAGTTAATTTTCTGCAAGAATACAAATACACACATTAAATACGATACGTAAAAAAAAAAAATCATATACAATCATATGAAGTGAAGTGACATGTGGCCAAGTATGGTGACCCATACTCAGAATTTGTGCTCTGCATTTAACCCAAGTGCACACACACACACACACACACAGTAGTGAACACACACCCAGAGCAGTTGGGGGTTCGGTGCCTTGCTCAAGGGTCTCACCATGGTACTGAGGGTGGAAGAGAGCGCTGTACATTCACTACCCCCACCTACAATTCCTGCCGGACCTGAGACTCAAACCCACAACCTTCGGGTTACAAGTCCGAGACTCTAACCATTAGGCCACGACTGTGTAATTCAACTTAAATGAAAATATATAGGCCTAGCCTTTGACAGGTTAGACGTCACACCAAATTGTAGAGGATGAAAATTAAGCTATGAGCGATCTTTACAATGGCACGCATGGCACGCACTGTATAAAGGTCCAAGATCATGTAATTTAAATGAAAAGACGTTTCGTGAGCTGGCATGTTGTTTAAACAACAGTAGATGACATCTTCAAGCCCTCACAGCCTCGTTTTCATTCCTGTTAGGGATGGGAAATACCACTTATTTTGTTTTCGATAAGATATGCTACCGATACTTTTAAAGGCCAGTATTATTGATGTCGATACAGATATTATACTTCTAAACTGAACTTTTAAATAGAAATTTTAAACCATTAGGCCTCGACTTCAAAGGGTAAGTCATGGCCTAATGGTTAGAGAGTCGGACTTTTAACCCAAAGGTTGCGGGTTAAGAGTCTCCTGCAGGCATTGTCGGTGGAGGGAGTGAATGTACAGCGCTCTCTCCCACCTTCAATACCACGACTGAGGTGCCCTTGAGCAAGGCACTGAACCCCCAACTGCTCCCTGGGTGCCGCAGCATAAATGGCTGCCCACTGCTCTGGGTGTGTGTTCACGGTGTGTGTGTGCGCACTTTGGATGGGATAAATGCAGAGCACTAATTCAGAGTATGGGTCGCCACGTCACATCACTTTCACTAAATTATGAAATGTATTAAATTATTACAAGTAAAATGGGTAATGATACTCACTTAACTTTATATTTGAAATGCATTTTAACATTCAACACGCTTTAATGGTTAAAGTATTGTAGTGTTTCGCTACTAATGAACCAGGCGTTCTCAGTCGCTCTATAACTTTATTAAAGCACTGAAGGAGGTTTACTGTTATGGCGTGGATGAATGGCTACACATAGATGTGTGCACACACTGTCAGAGCTGTGCGAGATCACTACCATACTGCGGGTGGGTAGGGGTGTTAATTTTTTCCCCCATAGGTTTTTAACATTCTAAAAGCTCTTTATTCCAAAGATACTACAAGCTAGTAGGTGTAATGTATTGGAAGTTGCATCAGAAGTATTGCATGTATTACGTACAACAATAAAACAGTGCATTGACATAAAAAAGGAAATTTACTTTTGGTACTTAAGTACGTTTAAAAGCAAGTACTTCTGTACTTTTACTTAAGTAACAATCTGTCTTTACAACTTTTACTTGTAATGGAGTAACATTTGACCAGCAGTATCTGTACTTTCACTCAAGTAATGGAGTTGTGTACTTTGTCCGCCTCTGGCTTTTACTCTCCCAACTAACTCTGAACTCACCGGACTATCCCCGCCCCTTAAAGTGAACAAAGACTAAAAGCTGCCAGCGGCATGTCTATTTTACATTACAATCCTATGGAGTAAACCATGTTCTCAAAAAAGTCCTCCTGAGCGCTTTTTTAAACACCACCGCCGGTGTCTTTTTCTGCAGCTCACAGCGTCTTTTCAAGTTGAAAAAAGTTCAACTTTTCTGAAGAAAAAAAACACCCTACGTCAAGCCATAACAACAAGAACAACAGGGAAAATGGAGAAGGTGCGGCTAGATAGACTTATCATAGTAGTTTCGGTTGTATGTTGTATGATATTTGTTTTCTCTTAATATGCCGCGAACCGTGCATCATCCAACCGTATAACACACATTCTCCTCCCCGTTAAAGGGATAGTTCACCCCAAAATTTAAATTTGATGTTTATCTGCTTACCCCCAGGGCATCCAAGACGTAGGTGACTTTTGGCGCTTTTCCAGTGCATGGTACGGCTGGGTACGGTTCTCTTTTTGGGGGTTTTCCACTGGGTACAGTACCTGGTACCTGGCACTTTTTTTAGTACCACCTCGGTTGGGGTTCCAAGCAAATCGTACCGTTACCAAACCGTGACGTGTAAACTCTGCTGATCACGGATTGGCCGGAGAGAATCGTCACTACCTGCATCACTGAACTTGCGACACAAACACAAAAGAACCGCTAGATTTAAATCAGCACAGCCAGCGAAGGATCGAACGCAACTCTTTTGAACAGCACACCTTTTTTAACAACCAAAAAGTGTGCTCGTGACGACACATTGATGTCCTAAGACACGAAACGATCGGTCTGTGCCAGGAAACGAACAGAATTGATATAATTTGGAGTAGTTTACGCAAGCGCCGGAAGTGATCTCTCGCACGTATACCTCACTCATTGGTTGCACATTCATTGTAGGTATGACGGCTAATCAAAATGGTACTTACCTGCACTTATCCGGATTGTTCAAACTGACTTAAAACTAAAAGATTACGTTCTCTCACGCGAACTCATTCGGGAGTGGTGACTTTCCACGTATTCCCAACTTCTGAGCCTGCTCTTTGGGGGTAAGCAGATAAACATCAAATTTTCATTTTGGGGTGAACTATCCCTTTAACTTCAAAAGCCAACGCAAGACTTCCTCTTTCTCGACATTTCTGCACCACACAGCACTGGGCTAAGGTTGCATGTTGTTATTGCAAGAAAAGACGCCCTCGGCTGATATTTGTAACCAAAACGCTGCCAGCTTTTTTTTTTCTTGTCAAAAAAAAGACGCCAAGTGTGAACACGCCCTTACTATCGATATTTTTATTTGAGTATCCATACTTCAGGATCGATATGCCCATACCTATTTCATGTCAAAACTTAAATATTTACCAGCAGAATTAATTTGAGTTAGAATACATTTTGCGATGTTAACATTTTCACGGGTGTGCGTGTGTTTTTACCTGTGATTTTGTTCATTTAACAAGACACTGAATGCATACAATAGGCACCAAACTGGACGAGTAACTATTTTCCTGCTGCTCATCTGAACACACGGAAATGCAGCAAGACAGAGAGCGTTCGCTCACTAGCTGCTGACACGGCATTTAAACAGGCCTGCGTTTGAGCAATTACTTCTTCTTCTTCTTCTTCTTGGTTTTTAACGGCGGCTAGCAACCAGCGTAATTATGTGCATTACCGCCACCTTCTGCTCCGGAGTGTGGAACAGAGAGTTACATTCTACTTATTAACCCCGTCCTTTTAAGAAAATGAAAGAAAGCTTTACTATTTATTTCACTTGCCCATTTTATTAAAGATTTAAAATGTACCACCTGAATTCCATTCTTCTTGATTTCAACTATCATATTACTTCTTTCTTCCTCATATTTCTTACATTCAAGAATTGCATGGGTTACTGTTTCTTCTACTTTGCATTGTTCACATAGTATTTTGAGTGTACTATTAAGATTGGAATGTCCCAACAATATTCTATTATAGACAACCTCTTCTTTCCTTGTTTTACCAATATGTCTTATTTTTTGACTTACTTTGTTAATTAAATTGTAGGAAAATCTACCGTTTTCGTTGTTGTCCCACTTTATTTGCCATTCTGCAATAACCTTTTTCCAGATTAAAACCTTAATTTCAGACTTGCTTAGAGGAACTTGTAATTCTATTTCTTCTCTCTGCAAAGCTTGTTTTGCTAACTTATCTACGTCCTCATTTCCCTTTACACCTACGTGTGATGGAACCCAAATAAAACTGATTAAAATATCATTCTGAACCAATCTTGAAGACATCTGTAAAATACTAAAAAGAATATCTTGATGACTGGATTTAAAAGACCTTAGACTTTTTAAAACTGAGAGTGAATCAGAACAAATTAAAACCTTTCCAGGTTTATAATCCTCTACCCACTGGAAGGACAAGAGTATTGCTATCATTTCAACAGTATATACAGCCAAATGATTGGATGATCGCTTTATACTAGTCAGGAACTAAAAAAGCAGCTCCAGTTGTCTCTCGCTCTGGATCTTTTGAGCCAACTGTAAATATTTGTAAGTATTGAGGATATTGTGTTCTAAAATGTACAGGGAATGCTGAAGACATGTCTACTTCTCTTACATGTCTGCTTTTTTAATTTCCAACAAATGTAAATCTATACTGGGGGTTATATAACTCCATGGTTCATTTTCAGGAATCACAACTGTTGGGCTCATCTTCAACTTATTTACCTTCATTTATGTATGTACAAGGGTAAAATAGGGACAAACCCAGCAATTGGGTTGTTTTGTCCCAGCGGTTGGGTTACTACCCAGAATGTTTGGTAAAACATTTAACCCAACTGCTGGGTCAAAACAGCCCAATTGCTGGGTTTGTCCCTATTTTACCCAGCACTGGGTTGTATTTAACCCAGCATTTTTTAGAGTGTGGGCTTGTATTTTATCCAGTTTTTCCAACAGGGTTTTTGAAGCCGAACCATATATCACACTGCCATAATCAAACACAGATCTGATCAGTGCCACATAAATAGTTTTTAATGACGAAAAACTTGCCCCCCATGCCACTCATGATGTTTAATAACTTCTGACATTTTTCAATAACTTAGTTTATGATACACCCAAGTTTTGTATCAAAATAAATACCTACAAATTTTAAAACACTAACTCTCTCTAAGGACCTCTCGTACATCTTCAAGTTTATTTCTGGTATAATCCTTTTCCTAGAGAAAATTATAGTCTTAGTCTTTTCTACTGAAAATTTAAATCCCCAATCACCTGCCCATTCTTCTACCTGTCTAATAGCTTCTTGCATCCTTCCATTAATATACAAAATATTCCTTCCCCTTTTCCACAGAGCTCCATCATCAGCGAAAAGAGATCGACCTACATCTTGCTGTACTTGATTAAAAACATCATTAATCATTATGGAAAAAAATAATGGACTTATAACACTCCCTTGTGGAGTTCCATTTTCTATCTCACATCTGTTTGACAATTCATTTCCAGTTCTCACCTGTATACTTCTGTATGCCATAAAATCTTTAATCCAATTGTAAATTCTTCCATATATTCATCATTTTCAGTTTTATCAAAAGTCCCTCCCTCCACATCATATCATATGCTTTCTCAACATCGAAAAATACTGCAATTACTGATTCTTTATTTACCTGAGCTTTTCTCATTTCATTTTCCAAACATACAACAGGGTCCATTGTTCCTCTTCCTTTTCTAAAACCACTTTGATATTTAGTTAATATTCTTCTCTTTTCCAATAAATATGTCAAACGGTCTGTAACCATCCTTTCCATTAATTTACATATATTCGAAGTAAGAGCTATTGGCCTATAATTAGATGGTTTAGAAGGATCTTTGCCAGGCTTTCTTATTGGAATTATTATAGCTTCTTTCCAAGCATTTGGTAATCTTCCTTCCTCCCATACTCTATTATAAAAATAAAAAAATGTTCCCATAGCCCCATCTTTAAGATGTTTCAACATTATATTTGTGATCTGATCTTTTCCTGGAGACGACAGTGTATTATTTAAATTACTAATTGCTCTTTTCAGTTCATCTAGAGTAAACAGGAGGTTAACTGACTGACCTTCTATTCCCCCATTTCTTTCTAGATCTTGTCTCTTTGTTATTTCCCTCCTCCTCCTTCCTTCTTCACTCAAGTTCCCTGACCCATGGATCTGTACAAATGTTTTTACCAACATTTCTGCTTTGTCCTTGTCTGTTACCGCAATTTCCCTTTCTGCTTCTAAAACTGGATATACCCACTCTATTTTATTGCCTCCCATTCTTTTGATCATACTCCACACATCACCCACTGGCGTTGTTCTCCCAATCTCACTACAAAAGCTTTGCCAGCTATCTCTTTTAGCTTGCCTTATAGTTCTTCTTACCACTGCTTGAGCTTTCTTGTATAATATTAAATGATTATAATTATGCGTTCTCTTAAGAAGTTTAAAAGCCTTATTTCTAGCTCTCACAACTTTACCACACTCATCTGTCCACCATAGAACCGCTTTCCTGGTCATTTTTCCTTTTTGAGCAATTGCAGCACAGAACAATTCTTATCAGAGGACAGAAAAACATGTTTGATTTATTTCACAATAAACAAAAAAATTGTAGCCTATAGTTTGTGCAATTAATTTATTTGAATTAAACGTTAAAGTTCATATTGATCATGTTCTATGCTGTAACTAATGTTTATTATAAATCATACACTGTCAGAATAAAAAGGTTGTATTTTATGGGTGCAAATGGCAGTCCCTTATTAAATTAAACCTTGGTTTTTCTATACAGTGACCTTAATATTTGTAGATTTCCATGGTTACCACTACAGTAAACATATTTAACCATGTGTAAACAAAAATATAATCTAATAAAATGCTATCTTTGATAACTGTGATCATTTTGGTCACTATAATTTTATAAATTATAGTGAAACTGGAAGTGTCGATATTGGTAAATTAACCTCAATTCTTTTTGTGATTCCAGAAGTTTCAAAAATTGTTCTTCAATAAAAAGTAGCTAAAAAAAAATCTACTGGGGGTATTCTTGGGAAAAAGGATTTTTCTCAGAAGCAAATCATACAGGTTTGAAACAAAGCTGTGCAAATTACATTTTTCACTTTTGGGTGAGGTGTTCCTTGAAGTCGTATCCTACCTTCCTCTAATTCTTGATTGATGCAAATAAACATACAGAGACAGAGACTTTATGTTTTACTAGTTTTTAAAGTTTCCTTATTGTGAAAACACATACATTACAGATTTTAATATAGCTCTGGTAGACACCAACAGTGTAAAATAACGTGTTTAACTGTGATCATTTGTGCAATAATGAGAACATGCTATTACACCTGCATATAGTAACTTATCTGCTGAATTACTTGCACTATATTTTGAATGCATTTCCAGAGGAGAACTGCCCCCTGGTGTAGCCTGGTTTCTCCCAAGGTTTTTCTTCTATATTATCCAACTTCATATAGAGTTTTTCATTCCTTGCCACAATTGCCTTTGACTTGCACACTTGGGGACTAAAGCTTTTGTATTATGTACTTTATATTATGCCTGTTTTGTTAAACTGACCAGGGTGAAGTGACCAAAATCTTAAACCTTGTCATTTATACAGGCAGTGATATACACCAAATTGTAATAAATTGTACAATCCTTTACAGTTTCATAATCCTCTATATCACACCATAAATGAATAACCCCAACTTACAACTACTATATCCAGTTTTTTTTTCTGATACATACAATATTCAAACTGCCATGATATATGCTATGGCAAATCTTAATTTCTTGATTATTTATATTGTATTCACAAATAAACTATACTATCACTCAGCTCTTAACTGTTAAATGTTAAGCATTTAAGCATCAATATCATAAAACTATAGTATAGATTTTAATGCCATGTAAGCGTCTCAGGCTTCATCTTCATGGCAAAAACTCTTACAGTCAAAAAAACAAGGGATACTTAAATACAATACTAAAACTCTGTAAAGGTGATTTGAAACAATTGCGATTACAATTCAACACCGACTGTAAATGCACTTTAGATTGATTTGGTTGCTGTCTTCATTCGAATCCTCAGCTCTAGGTAAAGATGCTGCTTTTGCAGTTTTCTACCATTTATCAAGCTGTACCATTAGTCCCAAAACAAGGGCCTTAGAAATGGAGAGACAAGATAAAACACATGATAAATATGTCTATATACAAAGTCAACCATTATATATCTACACTATAATCATATGCTATACAGCACAGAACAATTCTTATCAGAGGACAGAAAAACATGTTTGATTTATTTCACAATAAACAAAAAAATTGTAGCCTATAGTTTGTGCAATTAATTTATTTGAATTAAACGTTAAAGTTCATATTGATCATGTTCTATGCTGTAACTAATGTTTATTATAAATCATACACTGTCAGAATAAAAAGGTTGTATTTTATGGGTGCAAATGGCAGTCCCTTATTAAATTAAACCTTGGTTTTTCTATACAGTGACCTTAATATTTGTAGATTTCCATGGTTACCACTACAGTAAACATATTTAACCATGTGTAAACAAAAATATAATCTAATAAGATGCTATCTTTGATAACTGTGATCATTTTGGTCACTATAATTTTATAAATTATAGTGAAACTAGAAGTGTCGATATTGGTAAATTAACCTCAATT